AAACTAAGTGGCAACATCAGAAATTATAAAATTGATACACTCTCTAAAAACTACTCTGAGAACTGCTAGACAAAAATCATGAGAAACCACGAGTTAAAAAATAATAAAAAAAAGTTAAATAATTTTAAAAATTGGAAAACTTATAAACGACAATTTGAAGTGCTTAAGCTAAAGAAGGAAAGAAAAGCACATATCTAAGAAAATGAAGTGTAATCCAAATTTGAAATAACAACACAGGAAGCATAAATAAAGGAAAGAACAAAGGAAGAATTAGGGAGATACAACAGTTCGCTTCCAAGGAGCTTTACTAAAGGCCCACAAAAATCATAATGCATGACTACCTTCATGAACTTACCGCCTTTACAAGTTTCAACAAAATGATTTCACAAGAAAAGAACATTTTCACCGGAGGACCGAAATAGTTGACTCCAGCAGAAACATAAACTTGAGTACCAGTTTCAGGATCCCTGTAAAGACCTCGCACAAATGCATTTAATACATACACTAGTGGCACAAACACATACATTTGACCACCATGAGTATGCCCTAAATTCATTTAATATTAGACATCAGTAGTTAAATTATAAAAAAATCAAACGCCTTAGCGTCTTGAATACAAAAGTAGTTACCAGACAGAATCAAATCAATATTTGTGCCAACACTTTTGTCATTTAACACCAAACGAGCAGCATTTGGTTGATGAGTGAGTAAGATAATAAGGTTATTTGTAGTATTACTACAACCTTTCAGAGCTTTTTTATAATCCATCTTGTGACCAGGAACGCTGTAATAAAAAAAATTTCTCACACTTCGTTCTAGATATGAAAAATAACCTTCTATAAATCAGACTTTTTTCCATTTAAAACCTCATTTACTCCAGTTTGGTAATTAATAACACCACAGTGACGTTTACCGAGAAGATTCCGCAAACAAATCGTCGACACCAGCTAAACAAAGTGAAGAATCATTAATTGATATCTTCACGTTCTCATTGTGTAAGGGCTTGATCCCACAGTTCCGAAGGAACTTAAGCCAGTCATCTACACGTCCATGAATATATTCATGATTTCCTAAAAGAAGTGTCATCAGTCTCTGATACCATCCTATTTTTACACAGAAAAAGATTTTGTCAAATAATTTATCCAATTTTGCAGATTACCTGTAACGAAATAAGAGCCATAAGGTGCCTTGAGAAAACGCAGCGGTGACGCTGCTACTCCCAGATTTTCTACAAATCCGTCTGCGAGATCACCAGATATAGCAATGATATCTTAAAAACCTTAACTATTCAAAAGTCTTGAATGAAATAAAAGTCAACAAAAATTTCATAACAAAATATTCAAGTACAGAAATGCGTATAAAGCTTCAGTAGATGACAAAAATCGTCATCCTCACTACCTGGATTCAGTTCGTTTGTAAGACCAACAATATGCTGCACTCTTGAGCGGCCCACAGACGGACCAATGTGAACATCTGTGATCAAAGCAATCTTAAGGCCTTGGTGCGCATCCGAAAGATTTTCAATAGGGACATCAACATTTACGATAGAAGGTGCAGACATCGCTGTATAAAGCCCTCCAGCAACCAAAATAACTGCCGCAAAAAACGCGATTCCTCTGTGTAACATCGCTTTCTCGAGGACGTGCCTAAAGCTCAACTGTAGTCTACTGTGACTACTGAAATTAATAGTGAACTGATAAGTAAACTTTAATACTATTGGTAATACCTCGAAAAAGAGATGCGAACAATAAATAAAGCATGCTCCATAACAAAATTGTTTAAAATTATCATAACCTCTATCCAGCTGAAATAATTTCGAAAATGTTTAAAAATTCAATCGTAAACTTTAGTGCAGCTACCTAGTGAAGTCCGGTGCGATATTAAATGCAAGGAAGATACGGCAGATCCTATGAAAGCAGACAACTATCGTCAGAAAAGCAGTTAAATGAATTATCAGTGCAAGCGCCGTCAGTGAAACCATTGCTAAGAAATCTGGTTCTTCACCAACCCGTATGTAGAAATACAGGAACCAAATATGTGTTAGTATTAAAAATAACAGTAAAAACGCCTAGAAATCATCCATTCAGTAGCATTATTCTTGATATCAGCGAAACAAAAAATTCTTGAAAAATTCACTTACTTTCACAATATCGTCCAAACAAACTGTCCTCCACCTCATAAAATTCGTTTCCACTCGAACGCCATCAGATACGCTAGGATAAATAAACCAGAATATTAAGGGATTAAAATTAAGATAATAATTACTTTCTGACCTTTGATTTCGATTAAGACAATATTAACCTAACAACTCTGAAGTAAAGAAAAACTTCATGCTGTAACACAGCCAGTAGTCAAAAACCCGCAAAAGAAAAAATGAATTAATACTTTTCTTGAACAGCTATTTAAAAAATACCAGCAAAAAAGGCAGTTTAAAACTATAACAATACCGTTCTAAAGCTAAAAGAAATTATTACATCCCTGATGCTTTTTTTTGTACTTCAAAGTAAAAAGATTACTCAAACACTCAAAAAATGTAGAAGTCAATTTAATATGCTTATAAACTTACACAGTGATGGCGGGCTTCAGCTGTGACCAGATGAAGTAAGAAGCTATTACCATGACAAGTTGAAGATTGGCAAAAGTATGAATTCGAACCATTACTGGGTAAGCATATGTCTCGCGAAATATAAACCTTAGACTGCCAAAAAGAAATTGTGTAAGCAAAGCGGCAATTAAATAACCACTTACAGCTTGTGATACTGAAAAGAAATAATATGATGATGGAATGAATACAGCAAAATCTTTCCAGGTATCATGTTTCTAATTTAAGACTAATCAACGGTTTATTCAGAGTATTTAAATATACGTAAGCATACCGTTAAAAAATTGAAGTATTCGATCACAGTTTAGAAAAAAAACTTACCACTCATGGCGCAGAAACTATTAATACACTGCCCCAAACGATCAGTTCCAGTGTCGCTTGTAAATGGTTCTGAAAAAAAAGAACTGTCCCACTAACCTACTGCTCATACAAGACAGCGTGCATGGATTAACAAGAAAATCTTAATAATTCATTGAGTAATATAAATGAAAATATATAAGTACATAAATAGATAAGTATATAAATATATACATATATACATATATTTATCGATGTAATGTAAGCCTGCCAAAAAAAACCACATTTTTGAGACCACTAACTAAACTTGCGCCATACCAGAACTGAATGGCAACGCAAAAACGGGTTCAGAATGTTACAGTAAAAATCAAAAAATCCGATAGAAGAAATGCCTAAATGATGGATTAAAGAAAGCAAAACAGAATGCAAAAGTAGGATGAAATGCCAACAAAGTGATACAGCTGTGTTTTTTTTCCTTTTTTCCCCTTAACTCCCCTCGCCGCACCTTCCTCCTATAACCATCAAGGAAGCATACTACGCAGTTTACTGCCAAAAATCACTACTAAAAATAATTTCATAGGAGCAAATATTATTCGAATGCTTATGGATGTGTAAAATAGTTGAAAGAAAAAATTAAACAGGTGAAAAAATAGAAATAATAAATGTTGAAGCAAAACAAACAGGCGTTTTCATAACAAAATGACGTCATCCATGTTTGTGGTACATTATAAATATACATATACCTGTTAGCAATCCTCCAGTTTTCTGTAAATTACGCCAAATGAAACCTTATTTATATGTATAGCCGCTGTCATTTCTAATTTACACTGGGCGGGAAAACGGTTTTGGC